ATGAGGATGAAGGTCTGGTGATGTTTCTATTTTTCGTTTATGCGCACGCTGCTGGCTGAACTTATTTTTCTGATCAATGCACTCCATGTTTTAACCAATCACTTGTGCTCGCAGGTCACTTTGTGGACTACCTGTTGGACGATGTCAAACAGCAACCGCTGCAGGACGACGACGCTGTTGATCCCCTCCTGACCCCGGCGTCGCCGCCCAGCTCGGGCCCGCTCCGCCGCTCCGCCAGGAAGCGCACCACCAGGGTGGAACTGAAGACTGCGTCCTCAGACTCTGAGGGCGAGGCAAGCGAGGCTAGCGAGACCAGCGAGGCTAGCGAGGCCAGCGAGGCCAGCGAGGCTAGCAAGGCTGTCGTCAAGACTTCCGAAAACCCGTACAACCACGGCTACCACAGCAGGCCGCAGCCGCTGGTGCTCCGAGAGGGTGACACCATTCGCCGCTTCCGCTGCATCTACTGCAAGCACCTGGTCATTCGCGGCGACGGTGCACTGGTGGACCACTGGAGGATCCACCACACAGCGGTGGGGGCGACTGTCGACAGCTCCAAGATTGCAGCGTATGAGCTCAACGACGAGTTCGCTCGAAAAGTGTTGGATCTTCCGCGAAAGACGCTAAGAAAAAACTACCGCGTACCCGGAGGGTTCCGTTGTCCCGTGTGCTCCAAAGTTGTATCGCGAATCTATAGACTTCTCATTTCCCATTTGCCTCACCACTTTGACGATCCCCCCGAAACCCATGTCTGTAGCATATGTCCTGATCGAGTTGCATATATTGACCCCGCGGCGTTGTGGAAGCACTATCGCGTTTACCACAGTGATGCGGACCCCTATCAGTGTGACTCCTGCGACAAACGCTTCAGGTTGCCAAGCCTTCTGAAGGCACATGTGAAGCTATACCATGATACCTCGTGATTTTTTGGTGTGTAACTATTTTCTTTTGGGGAAACAATAAAAAAATGACAGATTTATTTCAATGGACATCGGCCATTATTTTATTACTTCACCAGCTTCTTTGTTTATCCGTTTGTACTTATAATGATTGTTGATTGGTTTTGTAGTAAGAGCGTAGTATTCCTTTTTAGTACTTGTTGGTATCTGCCCGTGGTGCTTGTTTCCTCTTTTCTCTTGTAACTCTTCACCCATGTGCTCACAGGTCACTTCGCGTACTGCGCCAACGATCAAAGCGGTCTCCTGGACGAGAACGAAGAGGACCCTCTGCAGGGCTGCGACATGGACGACGAGGACGTGACGAGCTCCGCGCCCTCATTGGAGCACCCGTCAGGATCCAGATGCACCATGCCCCCACCTAAGCGCCGCGGGCGTGCACCCAATGCTGCTGGAAGCGTAGCCGCGGTCAAAGTGGAAGCTGCAATGGACACGTCGCCTCCGCGCATCGCGAGCTACGGTGGGGCTGTGCAGGACGACCCAGCCGGCCCCGCGGCTGCGGTTGGGGACAAGAGGAAGCAAGGCCGTCCCCCTAAGAATGGCACAGAGACGCTGAGAAAGACTCGCGCCAAGGGTCGGGCCGAAGCCAAGGCCAAAGGAGAGGACGGCAAAGGCAAGCTAAGGCGGACTTTTCCAGTTCGGACCAATAATTCGGTCCAGCGGCTGGTCCTCGAGGAGGGCTCCACTACCCGCCGCTTTCGCTGTCGGTGCAAGGACCTGATAGTCGGCGACGGCGCGTTGCTGCAGCACTGGAGGGACAAGCACTTGGCGGCGGGGGCAGTGCTGGACCCATCCACGATTTCAGCGTATGAGCTCAACGACGAGGTCGCTCGGTACGCGTTGGGTCTTCCGCGACAGACGCTCAGCAAAGAATACCTCGTGCCTGGAGGGTTTCGTTGCCCTGTGTGCTCGAAGGTGATAGCGAAACCTCAAAGACTTGCTACCCATCTACCCCATCACTTGGACCAACCCCCCGAAAACTATGTTTGTAGCATATGTCCTGAACGAGTGGCATATTTTGAGTATTCAGGGTTGTGGCACCACTACCGCTATCACCACAGAAATGAGTACCCTTATCGGTGTGACTTTTGCAACAAAGGTTTTAAGTTGCGGGCCCTCCTGAAGTCCCACATGAAGCAGAACCATCAGGACAATATCATGTGATTTTTTCTTTGTGTCTGTTATTATTTTTGCTCAGCAATATAAAGACTAGATCTTATTGAACACCGGGTGTTTAATTGTTTTACCAGCTTATTTTATGCATTTCCAGTAGTAGTGTTTGAAGTAGAGTATTGATCTCGGTTTTGTAGTTAGAGCGTTGTGTTTCTTTTTCGTTTAGTGCTTGTTGGAATCTGCTCGTAATGTTCGTTTTCCAAAGTAATTCTGCACGACAAAGTTGTAACCCCTCACCCCTGTGCTCGCAGGTCACTTCGCCTACTGCGCGAACGACCAAAGCGGAATCTCAGTGGACGAGAGCGCGGAGGACCCGCTGCGGTTCTGCCACCGGGACGACGAGTGCGAGGGTGTGACGTGCTCGCCCGCCGCGCTGTCCTGCCCTGCCTCGCCCCCCTTGGCGTCGCCCGCGTCGCCCCCACTCAGCACACCATTCGCCCACCGGCCGAGTCAGGGAGAGAGTTCCCCAGGGCCATCGGAACCGTCAGGATCCAGACCCACCCTTCTCGCACCCCAGGGCCAGAGCATCGGGCGCCCACCCATGCCCGGACCTGCCGCGGCTGACAAAGTAGACGATACGACAGACGCGTCACCGCTGCCCACCGTGGACATCCATAGGGCTGTGCAGGGCCACAGCAGGGCGGCCGCGACAGCGCCTGAGAACAAGAGAAAACGGGGCCGTCCTCGTAAGAACGGCACAGAGTCGCTGAAAAAGGCCCGAGCTGGGGCCGGGGCCGAGTGTGGCTCTGCTAGTAAGGGTGCCTCAGCCGGGCAAGGGGACCCTGAGCCTGGGCCCTCCCGTCTGCTCGTCCACAACGGCTGCTGCGAACCGGGGGCGCTGTGCGACGCGCACAGCGATGCCGTGGCCAACGACATCGCTCAGCCCGTGCCGCAGTCCACGCGCCCGCACAGGATCGGGCACAGACTCGCGCGGGCGAGGAGGCTCAGCGCCCTTGCCAAGAAGGCCAAGCCGAACAGATTTAGGCTGCGAAAACAGCCTCTTTCCCCGGCTGACTCTGAGGAGGAAGCTGCCAAGCCTTCCAAGAAGTCCTACAATAGCAGGCCGCAGCCGCTGGTTCTCAACGAGGGCGACACAACTCGTCGCTACCGCTGCGCTGTGCACCGCGGTAGGTGCAAGGCCCTGGTCGAGGGTGGCGACGGCGCGCTGCTGCAGCACTGGAGGGACAAGCACTTGGCGGCCGGGGCAACGCTCGACCCCTCCAAGATCAGTGCGCACGAGCTCAATAACGAGCTTGCTCAACACGTGCTGGATCTACCGCGAAAGGCGGTTAAGCAAGCCTACCGCGTGCCCGAAGGGTTTCGCTGTGCCGTGTGCTCGAAGGTGCTTGGACATGTGAGTAGACTGTTATCCCATGTACCTCATCACTTGGACCATCCCCCGGAAAACTATGTCTGTAGCCTATGTCCTCAACGAGTGGCGTATTTTGAGCTGTCATTGTTGTTGCACCACTACCGCACTCAGCACAAAAATGAAGACCCTTATCGGTGTGACTTGTGCAACAAAGGTTTTAAGTATTTGAACCTCCTGAAGGTTCACATGAAGCAAAACCATAGTGACAATGACTCGTGATTTTTTTGGTGTGTTTAATTGTTTAATTTTTCGCAAGCAATAAAAACTTTCAACTTATTTTTTGGACATCGGGTGTATAATTTTACCAGCATCTTTGTCTATCTCCCTGTTCTAGCAATGCGTAGCAATGAGTGCTGATCTCAGTTTTGTAGTAAGAGTATAGTGTTTCTTTTTTTTTCTAGTGCTTGTTGTTGGTATATGCACGTTCTTCCCGTTAACTCAAGTACTTCGACACGACAACCTGTTAACCTCTCACCCATGTGCTCACAGGTCACTTCGCGAACTGCGCCAACGATCAGAGTGGTCTTCTGGACGAGAACGAACAGGACCCTCTGCAGGTCTGCCGCCTGGACGACGAGTGCGAGGACGTGAAGCCCTCGCCCCCCACGCCCGCCTGGCTTGCCGCGCAGCCCTCAGAGGCCCCGTCAGGATCCACAGCCACCCTGCTCCCACCAGAGGGCGTCGCGCGCCCATCCACGCCTGGACCCGCCGCCGCTGTCGAGGTAGAAGCTACGGCGGACACGTCAGCTCTGCGCATCCCGAGCACCCGCGAGGCTGTGCAGGACGACAGCGCGGGGCGCGCGGCAGCGCCTAAAATTAAGAAGAAGATCGGCCGTCCACGTAAGAAGAAGCGAGGCCGTCCACGTAAGAATGTCACGGAGTCGCTGAAACTGGGGCACGGAGTCGCGCGGGCGAGAGAGCTCAGCGCCGTCGCCAAGCCTTCCGAGCCGAACAGTTTTATGCTCCATAAGCAACCCCTTGCCCCGGAAGACTCTAAAAGCGATGCAGCCCAGGCCTCCAAGAATCGCTTCAACAAGGGGCCGCAGCCGCTGGTGCTCGATGAGGGCGACACTACCCGCCGGTTCCGCTGTGTCAAGTGCAAGGACCGGGTCGAGGGCGGTGATGGCGCGCTGCTCGACCACTGGAGGCGCAAGCACTTGGCGGTGGGGGCAGTACTGGACCCGTCCAAGATTACTGCGTATGAAGTCAACGACGAGCTGGCTCAAACCGCGCTGAATCTCCCGCCCACGACGCTTGCGCATAACTACCGCGTGCGCGGAGGGTTTCGTTGCCCCGTTTGTTCGAAGGTGCTAGCGAAAAAACAGAACCTTCTTTCCCATTTACCTCGTCATTTGGAAAATCCCGTCGAAAACTATGTCTTTGGCACGACTTGTACCCTATGTCAAGTGTCATTTTCTGAGCAGTCAGGATTGTTGCACCACTATCGCTTTTGGCACAGAAATGCGACCCCATCGATGTGAATTGTGTTACAAATGTTTTAGGTTGCCGGGTCTCGTCCTGAAGGCACACAGTAAGCAAAACCATAAAGACAATATCTCGTGATTTTTGTATGTGTTTCATTATTTTCCTTTTGGCTAGTAATAATAATGTAATAATAAAAAGTTCTTCATTTTCTGTTTGCAAATCGGGTGTATAATTTTACCAGCTTCTTTGTCTATCTTTCTGTACTAGCAATGAATGCTGATCTCGGTTTTGTAGTAAGAGCATAGTGTTTCTTTCTTTTTCTTTTTTTCGTTTTGATTTTTTTTTAGTGCTTGTTGGTATATGCACGTTCTGCCGTTGACTCAAGTACTTTGACACGACAACCTGTTAACCTCTCACCCGTCTGCTCGCAGGTCACTTCGCGTACTGTGCCAACGATCAGAGTGGTCTTCTGGACGAGAACGAAGAGGACCCTCTGCAGGGCTGCTACCTGGACGACGAGTACGAGGACGTGACGCCCTCGCCATCCGCGCCCTCCTGCCTCGCCGCGCACCTTTTGGAGGACCCGTCAGGATCCACAGCCACCCCGCTTCTACCCAAACGCCGCGGGCGACCACCCACTGTCAAAGTGGAAGCTACTGCGGACGCGTCAGCTCTGCGCATCGCGAGCTGCCATGGGGCTGTGCAGGGCGGCAGCGCAGGGCCCAAGAAGAAGCTCGGCCGTCCCCGTTCAAATGCCGTAGACAAGGCCAGGGCGCGGGCCGAAGTCAAGGCCAGGGCAAGGGCCCGGGCCAGGGCCAGAGCAGAGGAGGCCAAGGCTAGGGCCGAGGTCCGGCGGGATTTCAAAAACCGCGTCAACAACACGATCCAGCCGCTGGTCCTCGAGGAGGGATTCACCACCCGCCGCTTCCGCTGCCGCAAGTGCAAGGACCTGGTGGTCGGCGACGGCGCGCTGCTGCGGCACTGGGGGGAGGCCCACCTGCCGGCGGGGGCCGCGCCGGACCCCTCGGTGGTTGCGGCCCACGAGCTCGACGACGACCGGGTCCGAGGCTTGCTGGATCTGCCCCGGAAGAGCCTAGCGGACACCTGCCGCGTGCGCGGCGGGTTCAGCTGCCCCATCTGCGCCAAGGTCATCACTTCTGTGTCGAGAACAATATCTCACCTTTATTGTCACATGGAGAGTCCGCCGCTCAACTATGTCTGCACCATGTGTCCGGATGGCGTAGCTTTTTATGAGTATTCAGGTTTGTGGTACCACCATCGCACTTACCACAAGAACGTGAACCCTTACCCGTGTGCCTATTGCGACCGTAACTTCAAATTGACGAGCGAAAGGCTGAGACACGTAAGGGCAGATCATAAGGATAAACTCTCTGGCGAATAGTAATAACTTAGTGTAATTTTTGTTGACAATAAAATAATAAGACCTTCTGTTTCATGCCGCTAGTTAAGATTATTTGCACTTTGCACTCACCTTTTCCCCTGTATCTCTTTAATAGATTTTGATTATGTTTACCTTTGTACTTTTGTTCGAGTTATTTCGATTCATACAAGCGAACAAATGATTAACCACTCATATTTGCTGGCAGGTCACGAACCTTTAGGACGAGACCGAAGAGGACCTGGAGGAGGGTGATGAGTGTACGAGGGCGACACGACTTCGCCCTGCGCTGCCGCGGGCCCCAGCGACGGCGCAGTGCTAGTGAAGCGGGCGCCCACCTCTGATTCGGAACTGGAAGAGCGCGCGGGGCCAAAGTTTAAACATGGATGAAGCCCCTCTGGGAGCTTGAGGAAGCGGGAGGTCGCACGTCTCTGAGAGGTGGGCAAACAAGAAGCCATACAATGCCTGTAAAAACCACCATGCGACTTTGCAGTGAACTCTTCTCATTGTCGCACCCCTGAAGGCGCACTTGAAGAAAGATCACCGAAAAAATAGGCCTTTGCCAACATTGATATTGTCCCACTCTTGTGAGCCATAAACTAACTTCTACCCGTTTCTGTGAAAGCGCTTTAGTTTTATTCGAGTTCTTGATTTCACTATATTTTTTTCTGGATCATCCCGAAAGTACGTCCTTTTATTCTCTCTCTGATTTATTCTGCAAACTACGAGAGCTCGGCGCCTGCGAGACTTTGGGTAGGCCGCCCCGCCGTACATGCATGCATGGTGCATGCGATGTGTTGCCTACCTACAAGGCGCTATGGGAGGACGCAGAGCAGAGGCAGAATAACGGACGTACTTTCTGGATGATTTATGACTTGGTTCATTCCGAAGACTTGCTATGTAGGTAGATGTGAGAGCAGGTTTGCCTATGTACCCTGACCGTGGTGCCTTGGCCCATAGCGAATAGGCGACCCGCTCTCACGCGTGTACCGATACCATATAGGTTTCTTGTGGTTTACCTTGAACCCAAGCGCTTTATATAGATATCAGTCTTTGAAAAAAATAAATCTATTGTGTCCTTTTGTTTTCTATAAGCGCCCTTATAACTTTCTTCTTCGTTTCTCTGTCAGATTGATTTGGAATTTTGCTATCGTAGTTTTGGTGGTAGAATTGCATCGTTCATTGCATCGTACCGTTATTGATTTCCGTTGGGTTTGTGCCTGTGCTGTGCGTGGGGAACTGTGTACAAGCGGACTGATCCGCTGCGGCAACGCGCTAACCGCCCAAACCTCTGCTTGCAGGCCACTTTGTATACTACACGAACCCAATGAGCCTGAACTACATGGACGAGAACGACCCGCTGGAGGACGACGAAGACTACGAGGACGTGGACGCCTGGTCCCCCGCGCCTTCGTCCTCCGCGGCGGCGTCGCCAACGCCCCCCGCCGTGGACCCCCTCATGACCCCGGTGGTGTCGCGAGCGGCGTCGCCCTCGGCGTCGGCCCCGCGCCGCTCCCCCAGGAAGGGCGCCGCGGCCGTGCAAGTGAAGACTGAGCCCGGGCCGTCCCGCCTCCCCGGCCGCCACGCCTGCTGCGTGCCGGGGGCGCCGTGCGACGCGCACAGCGACGCCGTGGCCAACGTCATCGCCCAGTTCCTGCCGCAGCCCACTCGCCCGCCCAGGAACGGGCACGGGGTCGCGCGGGCCAGGAGGCTCGGCACCATCGCCAAGAAGGCCAAGCCCTCAAAGGCGACCAAGTTCAGGCGCCAGAAGCAGCCCCTCGCCCCGGCCGACTCGGAGGGCGAGGCTGCCAAGTCCAACAAGAAGTCCTTCAACAACAGGCCGCAGCCGCTGGTGCTGCACGAGGATGACACCTCCCGTCGCTTCCGCTGCCGCAGGTGCAAGGGCCTGGTCGAGGGCGGCGACCGCGCCCTGCTCGACCACTGGAGGCGCAAGCACCTGGCGGTCGGCGCGAGGCTGGACCCCTCCCAGATCACCGCGCACGAGCTCAACGAGCAGCTCGCGCAAAACGTCCTGGACCTTCCGCGAAAGACATTGATGAAGACTTACCGCGGGCCAGGAGGTTACCGATGCCCCGTGTGCTCCAAGGTGATAACTATGGTGCAGAGGCTTAGGACTCACGTGTATTGTCACATGGAAAACCCGCCAGAGAACTTTGTTTGTAAGGTGTGTCCCACACGCACCACCTTCTATGAGTATTCAGGGATGTGGCGCCACTACCTACAATGGCACAAAAATGCTAAACCATACGCTTGTGAGTTTTGTGATCAGAGCTTTAAATTGCCAAGCCTCTTAAATGATCATGTTAGAAAATACCATAAAGATAAAGTTATATTGAAAGGTACTTCTTACATTAAGAAGTAATGTCAGCAGGCAGTTTAAATTGTTTTATCTTAATCCAAATCTTTATCTAATGAATTTTGACTGGTGGGGGATAAAACCTCCATGACACTAAATTATTCCATGAAGAAATTTAGTTCTACGCAAGTTTTCTATGCAATTGGGTAATGTTCAATAAAGTAATTTTTTTGTATAGTATAATTTTGATGACTTTTGTATTGTTACTTCGCTCCCTTTCCTAACATTATAGTGTCAATATACCAGCCCATTCCCAGGTAAAAATCTAATGTTGATCTTATCTCACAAGTATTTTTGTTTCTTCTAATTGTGTAACATGCTTTCTCAGGTTTTATTGTGGCTCCTAGTGGCATATTCCCCGGTTCTTCTGTGGAGTCTGACTCTGAGCCTTTCCTGAATCATCAGTATCTTCAACCAATTCTTATCAAGACTAACTTGGGCAGGCCATGTGTGCTTCACAACAGGTACAAGTACCGAAAAAAACCACCAAGAAAGGCCTGGAGGTAAGTCAGAATTCCCATAAAATAATTCAACAAATTAGAGGTTGGTCGTTTTTTTAGATTATCCTTTCTTGTTTCTTTCACAGCTGTTGTGCAAGCACTTGCAATGCCAAAGTGATCATGAGTGATGACTGCAGTGTAGTGCTAGAGTGTCGAGGAGTCCACACTTGCATGCCCTTGTCCGATGAAAAGATACAGAGGACACTAATGAAGTTACAAATGAATATGTAGCTGAATTATGATTTTATTTGTACTGGTCTTGATACTGTTATACTAGGGTTTACTTTTTAGTTTGGTGTAAAATATATTAGTGAGAAATATTGAATATTTTTTCCCTAACTGTAAAAAAGCTCTTTGTCTTTCTCTGATGAGAGTCAAGTTTATTGTTATTTTTTAATCATGCAAGTTTCCATCCTATCACCATTCACGTTTCGAGTTTCTAATCTTTGGTTCCGGACACCGAGCAAATAAAACAACTTGGCAAAAACGTGTGCGTTTATTCTACCCTCATTCCTCCCCCACTCGACTCGCGGGCGCTGCCAGACTTTCGCATTCGCTGACTCTTGCTCTGTGTGTTTCTAGATGACGCCCTGCCCTGGGGCGACCTGCCGCTGGACTGGCCGACCCAGAACGGCGACCAGGGCGACGCTCTCGGGGACGCGGGCGGCGCCGACGACCGCCCGCTCAACAGCAAGGGCCTGGTGGTGGACGACACGGCCGTGGCGGCGCTGCTGAGCCGCCTGGGCGACCCGCGCTCCAGCGACACCCAGTGCGGGCTGTGCGGCCGCGTGCTCTCCAACAAGAAGCGCCTCCGCGGTCACCTCATGCAGCACGTGACGACCAAGCCGCGGCCGTACGCGTGCACCGTGTGCGGCTTTGCCTTCCCCGAGTACAGCGCCCTCTACCGCCACATGAAGGTGCAGCACAAGAACGTCAAGCCGTACACGTGCCAGGCGTGCGGCGAGGGCTTCCGCCTCCCCTCCGAGCTCAAGGCGCACGCCAAGGAGCACCGCGGCACGGGCGGCCTGCACATGTGCACGCTGTGCGGCAAGACGTTCGTCGTGGAGGGCAACCTGCAGTGGCACTACAGCACCGTGCACGGCGGACAGCCGCGGGACTGAACAGGAGTCAAGTGAAGTGATGCGGGCGATATGATTTTGGTTTTCCATGTTTTCCCTTTAGATGTGTTTTCTTTTTTCTGTTTGTTAATGTTGTTTATGTAATAAATATTTTACATTTTACGCATGCCGTTGTCATTGTTGTAGATGTCGTGAACGGTCTCCTCGCTCGTTTGGGCCGGTGGCTGGTTGTGTGGCTGCCTGCCGTGGTGCTTGCTTCTTGTGCACGTTCCCGGACGCCGCCCGTTCGTGTTGCGCTGACGTTCGCTGTTGTTGCAGGGGTGGCGAGCTTCCTGCGCGCGCAGGGCACGGAGGTGTGGGTCGAGGGCTCTGCAGCCGCCGCCGAGGAGGAGGAGGTGCAGGAGGTGCCGCAGGCCCCGGCCCTCCGCGCCCCGCTCTGCAGGTCGGCGGCCTCCACGGCCGTGTGGGTTCAGGAGACACCCCGCCCAGCGTCCCGCACGTCCACGGTGTCTACAGTGGCGGCCGCGGCGGTGGCCCTGAAGGCTGTCCCCCATGTCGCCGCGGAGGTTGGCGCGGAGGCCTCCCGGGATGCAGGGCCGGAGGTGAGCTCGGCCGTCATCGAGGTGAGTATGGACGACCTGGAGGAGAGCGACGTGTGGAACGCCCTGGTCAAGGACGAGCCCGACGGCTCGGAGGACATCGAGGCCGACTTCGAGGCGGACATCGAGGCCGAAGTGGAGCTGGAGGAGGGCGACGCCGACGAGCTGTCGTCGGCGGCCGACGAGTCGGTGAGCCCGGGCCGCCTGGGGCGGCGACGCACCTACAAGTGCCGCGTGTGCCGCAAGCACATGGGCTCCATGTCGATCCTGCAGCGCCACATGGTGACGCACACGGACGAGGAGCGCAAGCAGCAGCCCTTCGCGCGCCAGTGCGAGCAGTGCGGCCGCGTGCTGTCCTCGCGCCAGCGGCTCGAGTCGCACATCAACGCGGTGCACATGCAGGGCGACAAGAAGCAGTCGAGCTACGTGCGCCAGAGCCTGGGCTGCCCCGTGTGCGGCAAGGTGCTGTCCTCCATGCAGCGGGTGCGCTCGCACATGGCCACCCACTACCGCAACCCCATGGCCATGCCCACCCCGCCCGCCACGCCCCTGCAGCCCGCCCCCGAGGACGCCGTCTTCAAACATGTGGTCTGAGCGAGACGGACGGTGTGATCGTGTGATTTTTGGTGCCTTGTATTAATTAATTTTGCACAGCTTTGAGCTGTGTGCACTTTCCTGCCTGTTGGCGAGGGTCTGTGCTTTTACCGCTTATAAGTCATGTATAATTTTTGCCATGATGCCTTTGCAACCTTTAGGGTATTTCTTTGTTGTAATATATGCAGTCCTACAAGTCCGTGATAATTTTGCTCTTTAAAGAGAACGTTTGTTTATTATGATTACCATTTTCTCCAATGAAGTTTTATGGAGTAGTTTTAGCTGCTTCGTTATATATGTATATTAAGTGTCTGCTGATTATGCTTTTTAAAAAAAATCAAAGAAAATCAAAGGATTAGTTCTTGCTAGAAACAGATCAAGTCTTTTGATGCTGTAATTTTTCCTGACAATAAATTTTCTCGATGTGTATCAGTGAGGGGAAAGCTTACTCTGTATATTCCTGGTTGACGTGTGGTGTGCCCCTTGTCCTTGTTTGTGCCCTATGGCACCTAGCGACTAGGCTCCACGGTGTGCTACGGCACTCACTGCCTATGGATGTCAATGAAGTTCTCAGCCAGGTTTTATAAAAACAAACAAGAAATCACTCCATATGCCCTACATTTGTTGATCAATCGCCGCCACCTGCACACTCGTGACCTCGCTCGTGACCCTCTTTCTTACAACTGCTCGTTGAATGTTTCTAACTGTCCTCTTTCTCTCTTGCAGACGAGTGGGCGCCATGGATGGGCCAGCAGAAGCAGGACGAGGAGCCGCAGCACGGGATGGCCGTGGCCTACCCGTGGCCGACGCAGGCGCACGAGCAGGGCCAGCAGGCGCCGTGGCCGCGGCAGCGCGCCCCGCGGGCCAGCGGCGGCGGCGGCGCGGCGGCCGGCAATCCCTTCCAGTGCACGCACTGCGGCAAGGTGCTCTCGAACCGCACCTCCCTCAACGTGCACGTGCGTTCCCACACGGGCGAGCGGCCCTACCGCTGCACGGTGTGCCCCGCCGCCTTCACGGACCTCAGCAACTGGCGGCGCCACCGCGTCGTGCACACCAAGACCAAGCGTTACCAGTGCCAAGTGTGCCAGGCGCGCTTCTCCCAGAGCGGCAACCTGCGCATGCACGTCCGCAAGCACCACCCGGAACTCAACTGATCGGGGGAGGGACGGGGGGCGGGGGTCGAGCCTCCGGGCGAGCGGTCCCCGGCCCCATGTGCGAGGCTATAGGTCGCCAGGTTCTTTCCCCAGAGTAGCCGCGGTTAGGTACTTGCTGACGGGTGTGTCCGAGTGGGCTGCCACTCTGGGGGGAACGCCCCTGGCAGTGGGAAGCTGAGGCTGGTCGTCAGCCCCCGGCGGGGGTGACTCTCCCCCCTCCCTCGCCCCGCCCTGCAATGAGATGAGAGAGCTCTCCGTGGACTGAGCGCCCGCGCGAGGGCTCGCGGCTTGCTCTTGCCCGCCGGCTCGCACGAGCGCTCACTCTCCGGTGAGCTCTCTGATGTCGTTGCTGCGCTCGCGGCGCTCACTCGTGCTCGGGACGAGCGTTCGCGGGCTGTCTCTCTATGGGGTGGGGTGCCTGGCTCGCCTGGCTCGCCTGGCTCGGCTACTCGCAAGACACGTGCTTAATTAGTGAGGGTTAAGTGTGCTACTACTTCGTTTGAAATGTATAGTGACTTGCACTGGTGCTGTTCTACCTTCTAGTGAAAATGTACAGCTGTTGTCTTGTCGTTCGGATCTCTGTGAAAATTATTCTATTTA